GCCCAAGTTCACAACCTTCCAAAGTCAGATCCCTCACACTGGCAGGCGAGGATGCAAGTAAAGAGAGGGAGCAGAAAGGGAGGGAAAATTCTGCTACAGAAAGAGTCAACCTAGGGCAACGTTGCAGTAGCACTAATGGTTGCCGCGCTCCAAGTCATGTCCTCCTTGGCTTTGACCTTCATTAACAGGAGCTCTGTGTAAGAGAACAAGGTGATTAGGTGCGCAGTGTATGAGTGTGTGTGCATACGAGTGCATGTATGTGCAGTGTGTGTGCACATGTGCATGTTTGCAGTGTGCATGTGTGTGCACGTGTGTGCAGTGTGCGCTCGCATGTGTGTGTGCGCATGTGTGTGTGCATGTGTGTGTGCTCATGTGTGTGTGTGTATGTGTGTGTGTGCATGTGTGCGCTTGTTTTGTTCTGCCACTCGACCTTGGGCAAGTCCTTAACGTCTTTAAGCTTAAACTAGGCATCTGCAAAATAGTAATAATAATAATAACAATAAATACTATGATAGATTGTTTACTGACCACCGATTCCTCCCACCCACTGTGTATGCCCCTTTGCAGTGTGACTGCAGCTCTTCCCGTCGAGAGGTGGAGTCTGTTTCTCCGCCTCCCAAATCCAGCCTGGCTTGTGACTGCGTTGATGGCAGAATGTGGCAGAAGCGATGTCCTGTGATTCCAGAGCCTAGGCCTCTGGAGACCTGGGGCTCCCACCTTGCCCTCCTGCAAAGCTTCCCTAAACCACCATGTAAGGAAGCCGGAGTAGCTCACCGGAGGACGGGAGCCTCCTGAGGGGAACCGAGACGCCCCAGCCTGCAGCCAACACTGACTGCTGGTCGTGCACTTGACTCGACCATGAATGTTCCCACGCAGCTGACCCTCCAGGCTGAATGCAGCGCCCCCTGAGCCCAGGTGGAACCAGTTGAGGAACCTCCCTCCCACCAAGAAATCGTGAGAAACAGGGAACTGTCGTTGTTTTAAACTACTGAGCTTTGGGGTGGTTTCTTACACCCCAAATGGACTCAAGAACCACCTCCCCGAGTGTATGAAAGTGCTTAGCACAGTTCCCGCACACAAGTCTTGGCTTCATTTTTACCCCCAGATTCTCCTCTTTGCAGACGCTGTAGAGCATCGCTTCCCGTTCCCTTCCTCCCAACTCAAAGGAACGCTGGACGGAAGGGAAGGCACAAGTATGCGCCACGTTTTCTTTGGAAGTGTTTGTGATGTCTCCACCCCACTCCTAGCCCCACGTTCCACACTAGCTCATCCCTTGATTGTGGATTTGGAACACTGGTCACTCAACAAATGTTAATTAGTGGTAATGACATAGCATTTCCAAGCTTAAAATCTTAGTGTTTCAGTTCTTATTCTTTCTTCTCTAGATTTCTATTTCAGGTCAAGTGTTCTAAATTCGACCTGGTAGCTACATACATTTGGAACCAAAAGAAATGACAGATAACGTAAGCGTGTCACTAGTTAAGATAGCAGGTAGGAACCAGCCACAGTTCCTGGATGAGCGGACGTGTGTGTGAGGGCTTCACGAGTGTGCACTCATTTCTGTACAGGGGAGAATGCTCAACGGGCTCGCACACGTCCTCGTCTTCTCTACACTCTTGGCAGACTGGTCATCCTGCACCCGATGATTTAAATGAGTGTGCAATACGTGACTGGAGTGAAGTGATAAAACCCCCAAGTTTCTTTAAAATGCTCATTTTAGGTGAAAATTGAAATCACTCTCTAACCTTCCATCTTGGCCCTCACTCTTACTTGGTTAACTCACATACTCTGTAAGCTCAGTTCAGATACTCTCTCCACAGAAGACCTTCTGGAAGCCCCCGCACCAGTCAGGAACCCCGTTCTTTCCACAAAGCCTGCGTGTGTCTGTTTCCCTCAGCCCCTCAGCGAATGGTCATTCACCTCCGTGTCCCACTGAAAAACAGCCATGGCACCTGTTATTTCTCAGATGCTTGCTGAGGACCAGGGCTGCAGCAGGCACAGTCCTCGCAGCAGCCCTCAGGGGAGGACCCACTTGACAGAGGAGGAAACCGAGGCTCACAGACCCTGAGCGACTCGCACAGTCACTCGCTAGGAAGAGGCCTTTGACCGCAAAGCCTGAGGTCGTCACCGCTCTGTTCTGATGCGAGTTAGGTCCTCAGGAGACGTTTGCTGAGCGCACAAATGTTTTCCAGTCACTAAATTGAACAGTGATCATTGCCTCCTTCCCTTGTTCTCTTACACTTCTGTGTGTGTGTGTGAAGGGGGGTGGGGAGTTGAAGGGTGAGTGAGAAATGAAATGGGGGGAATTAGAAGGGAGAAAAAGCAACTGGATAATTGGCCCCTGAATAAAACTATATATATTAGAAAACAAAACATACTAAACACTAGATACACACAGACTGCAAAACACTCAGGCAATAAAAAAGCATGGTTACTAACATGACCGGCTCACCTTGGCAGAGGGTGGGTCATTTCGGTCCTCTGCTACCCAAATGTCCACAGTTCCACCCATGTCAACACCACTCGGTGGACAGCTCACCGCACGCCCGCCCATTCTCTCGGGCCCTCTTGCTCCTCCCTCCCCCCTCGTCTGCCCTTCCTTTCTGTGAAACTGTATTAAGTAGTAAGCGTTATGTCCAGGTGCTGGAGACACAAGGCTGAATAAATACAGTCCCACAAGCCCACATTCAGGTTTCCCCGTCCTCTCCCGATAGCAGCCCGCCCCAAGTCGTGGCCCAACCTCCTGAGTCAGTCCCAGGTCCTCACAGACAGATGCCGTCTGATAAAGCAGACGACGGACACACGGGTTTTCCTTCTGCACAACTCCACACAGTTACACCGAACGGTTTCATTCCTCACGCTCTTCTAGGTGTCGAGATACAGTCCCCTCCGAAAGGGACAGGCATTTTTACCTCCCACGTGACTCAGCTTTACCTTCAGAGCATCTAACGACAGCTGTTTTAACTGTTACGAAGTTAACGCTCCTGCTGAACCGAGTAACCGTCTAGCGGGGGCCTTGACTACAGCAGAGGAGTCACAGAAGGCTGCGGTTTTAGAAACTGCCTTTGGAAAGGGCACAGCTCCTGCACACTCAGCTTCCCAGGATGTAGCTAACATTTTGCCGAGCTTTGAGAAAAAACTGGAACGTGACAATAGTTGGCGGCATAGTCATTCTGGTGCCCCACCTGGGAGCTCGGATAGACATTGCTGCGGATTCCACTTTAGAAAAAGGCTAAAAAACAAAACATAAAACCCGCTGTGTTTGCCATGAGCTGAGGCTGCAAACCCAGCTCCGAGCTGGACCACCGCAAGCTGGTGAGCCTGCAACAGAGCTGCGTCCCCGGAGAGCCCGCCCCTCTGGGAGCTCTCTACGTGTTTGTCTCACAACGGTCAAACCCGGGCAAAAATATTTTTTTTTTGCTAAAAGACAACTCTTTAGTGTTCAGACAGATATGTTTCTATTGCAGTTTTTATTCAGTGTGTTTCTTATATGACACAATTATATATATATAATTATATGTAAAATATATATATCAGTACAGAAAAAAATTAGGTATATAAATCTAAGCTCAGACGTAAGTGAATACTCTTATAAACTGATGGTAGAATGCAGTTTTGGCTGAGGTACCGTCAGTGAAAATGAGAAGGTGCTCCATCAAGAAGCGTTCGATTTCAAAAGTAAGTGGTAAGTCTGGCTGACTGGGTGGGTGGGCGGGCCCAGGAGTGGGGGGTTGACGGCGGCGCAGAGCCAGCTGGTGGCAGCATCCTTAAGTAACAGCTCTCCTTCCCCCATTTCCTGTCTTCCCTCCCCTCTTTCCAAGCCCAGAAACACCTGAAACCATAATGATCAAGCCAAGAGAGGTGGGTGAAAAGCTAGGTGGAGAGTGAGAGAATCTGGGCATGTTCTTTTCCCTATTTCAAGCCCAAACTGAATGGGTGATGGGAGAGGAGAAACTAACATTTAAATTGAATCTGCAGTTTGGGTTACTTCCTGAAATGGATGTTTTTGTTGATGGATCAAGAGTGAGTATTGAGTCTTAAAGTGATATAAAGAGTGTCCAGAGAAGTCATGAGCCTTCCTAACTTCCACCCAGAGGAAGGAAGAACTAGGTCGCAGGGAAGATTTACAGTAAAGGAAAAGTGGAGATCAAAATAAAGTCCCATGGGTCGTCAATGTACTGGCTGTATTTGTTTTGTGATCAGTAATGAAGTCTGTGCTCACCAGCTGGGAACCACGTGCAGTATTAGATTCTGCACAGGGCGAAAGAAACCAGGGCGCTGAAATGGATGTCAAGTCATATGTGTGGTGCACGGCTTTTCCTTTCTGTAAATTACTTGGGTTGTTTATTAGGAAACAGCTCAACACTACCAAATGAAACCTTGGCTTTTTTGATTTCCTTTAATTACACTGTTATTGCCTAAAATGGAGGCCTAAAACCCTGAATGGAAAGCAAAACCAAAGAGATGAACACCTGAAACAGAAACGCTATGTGAGTGGATTCTGTGGCTGTGCCCTGGCTGCCCTCACCCCCTGATTCATCTGTCCTCTTGTGGGTGATGATGTGGAATTGGTGTGTGACCTAGCTTATGTTTAACTGCGTTCACAAATCAATGAGAGTGATTCCTGAATCTTCCATTGCTGTGACTCTTTCTCTTCTCTGATGAGCATAAATGATGGTGACACTGATTTCAATGTCTATTTCCAGCTTCAGGTTGTGTGTAAGACTAGGAACCCCAACTTTGGATCAGAAACATGGCCTGCCTACAGGAGCGCAGTTATGACACGGCGGCCTAATTGTCTTCACCTTGTAAAGAAGTAGAAACTAATTTCTGTCTCAAAGATTTTCTCCTTACACAGAATATATTCCTGTACAATTAGCAGCTGGGATGCAGAGCACCCAGTCACCCCCTCAGTAGCAACATTTCTAGCAAAGCAGGTCTCTGCAAGCGACGGGCTTTTTGAGACCTTCACGAAGTGGGCTGCACACTCCTTCTCTTACCTCTTCAGTGGAGCTGGAGAAGGGCCAAGCAGTCCAGGGCACCCAGGACGCCTCTGCAGTTCCAGCCACCTGCAGAGTGGGGTGCTGCCCCTGGCTGCTGTTCTGGCCATAGGTTTCTGTGGTACTTCTGGTGAAGGCCTCGGTGGTATTCCCCACAAGGTGTCCCGGGCTGTATGGAACGGCGTGGAAGGTAGTGGAGATCTGGAGGGGAGCCGTGTTTCTCGTGCTCCATAACGGAACTTCTGCTCCCAGGCCAGCTGAGGGAGAGAAAGGATAGTTGCTGAAGTTACTCTCGTGTTTTATGGATTCTTCACATAAAAGCAGTTTTACTTAGAAAAAGGAGACGTCTTTAGTAACGGGCATGTGGATAAGCTTTGTTATATGAAAAATCAAAGATACTTTGAGCGTGACATTGCTAATTTGCCATGTCCAATTCACCCATCCTTTATCCATCCATCAATTCTGTAGGGTGAAGTGAGGGTTGTGGAAAATGTGCTGTCAGAAAAAAACCCCAGCTCTGTATAGAGGGTGGACTTAAATTTACTCTGTGAACATCTAGGGAGTCACTGAATTGGCTTCAGGGGATCCACGAATCTCTAAAAACCTCATGTAAAATTCTGAATATACCTATACGTGTACTTTCCTTCCGTGGGGAACTTTCATCAGCTTCTCAAAGAGATCATTATACAAAATTCCAGGTTGAGAATCACTCTTGATGACTTGCCTAACTTCACCATGAAGATGGACATTTCCTTGGAACGTAATGACATTTGTTTTACTGCAGAGCAAACAGTTTCTGATCCTAATTGTGTGAATCCAAATCATGGATGGTTATTTTTTGTAAGCTCCTTATCTTCTGGAAAAACAGCGATTTAAAGTGGATTTAAAACTTATGAGCTGGTAGGATTAATTTATAGCTTTGCTTTGCAAGGCTGAATTGCTCATACTTAAAAAAAAAATTGGTTTGTGGATTAGGTTCACCCAGCCATACCACTAAACTGTGCTCTCCATCTCTGGGAAATCTTGCTAACATGCAAATTCTGGTTCAGTAGATTGTCAGAGTGGGCACTCCTAACAAGCTCTCAGGTGGTGCCAGTGCTGATGACAGTCTCTGGACCACACTGGTGTAATGAGGCCTAGAGAACAGGCGTATAATATAAAGAATTGGAAAGGGCTCTAAATTATGGGCTGAGGTCAGATGTTTAATGCTTCCATCAACTCCATAATGCATCCAAGTTGTCTGGGGTACAAAATCTTGCCCAATTACATAAGTATCACTTTGAAAAGTTTCTGGTTTAAAGACTGGCAGAAGAAAGATTTATTTTCACTACTCCTTTACTGGTTCATTGAAACAACTATTTATTAAGCAGCTACTATGTGCGAGGTGGAGTCCCCTGAAGAGGCTACTAATCATTGCATTTTTCCTGTTCTGGTCCACCTTACTGACCCCTGTTTTGAATCTCATCATTTCCATTCCTATTTCGACTGATGAACATATTTCATATGATAATGTATATAAAAAAAGGGAGGACAAGGCACGAAAAGACCAAAATAGAAAAGGTATTTTTAAAATTTAGCAAGATATAAATATCAGCAGTTCTCTTAATAAATAATCATGATCGTTATCAGCCTTTCCTTGAGATGTGGAGGATTATGTAAAGTACCCTGCATGTGGGGCTGCCAGATTTAGCAAATAAAAATAGATGATGCCCAGTTAAGTTAGAATTTCAAATAAACAACCAATAATTCAGTATATTTGGTATATCCCAAATATACAGTATTACAAAGATTAAACTATATATTATATTGTATGTTAGAAATATACTAAAACATTATCTGTCATTCATCTGAAATTGAAATGTAACTGAGTGCTGTTTGTAATAGGATGCTGGCAGCCCTACCTGTCCATCTGCTAGATCTGGGCTTTGATAGGTTTTTGGACGTTCCCCTAGTTTCTGTTTGTTTTGCTCCTTCTGCCATCGTGCCTGGCTTAGCCACTCTGCGCACAGACCAGGAGATTTATTTATCCCTGGGGTGTTTTCTGCATGGCAAACCCAACTGAACTATTAGTGATATTCCTTTACAACAAAGTCCAAGAAGCAGTCTTAACTCTGCAGTCTTAATTGAATTAGGTGCCTGAATGTTCCTTTAAGTCGACATGTGTCTGCTGCCGGGGTGTAAAAATTTCTGTATGTGGAGATTAGTATTTTGGTCATTTTGAGCCTAGCCAATGAGATGATTACCACCTATCACAATGTTAGCTCTCAGACCCTCAAAAAAAAAAAAAAAAAAGATTTGATGATGGGGTTAGGACAAGGACGAGCTTCCAAACACCTGGCACGTAATTACATGTCTTACTTACCATGTCGTCCTTACTTACTCTTCTTCACTGAGGGGCAGTTGGTAAGTTCTCATCCTAAGAACTTTTTTTATTACTCAATTTACATAATTAATTCAATGGAAGAAATAGGACTCTCCCCAAAATTAGATAAATGATAAAAACACTCTTGAAATTTCTTCTGCAAATAACACAGCTCATTGCCCTGGCATGGAGCTGGGATAGCTTACAGACTCTTCTCTAATTGTCTTCAATTAACTTTCTGAAGGTATTTTTAAAACACCCCCAAACCAGACAAGTCCATTTTCCATTTTAGGTGGCCACTTTTTTTCCAAAAAAAGAAACTACAGAATATCCAAGTCTGGTACCCCTTCATTTTGTGTCTGTGTTGTTAACTTGTGCTATTTAAGCTTTAGTCTTAACATTCAGTTTCCAAACTTCGTGAATTTTAAAGCAGTGGTTTGCAAATGTTGGTAGGCATCAAAATCACCTCTGGAGCTTCTTAGAATATGGAAGACTTCGCCCTCTCCCCAGAAACTGTGATTCAGTAGATTTCATATGGACCCAGCACCTGCATGTCTAAGTTTTCAGGTGATTCTACCATATATGTAAATATATGGTTTTATCCAAATTCACAATGCGAGCACAAACTGAATTCCAGTCACCCTTATGTGGGTACTGATGGATTATAAAGTAGATGGGAAGAAGGAAAATCCACTATAGATATATATACGGTGGTCAAAATAAGTTCATCTTTTCATCTCCAGAACTCTTTGTTGAAACGGGTGCTATGAAATTACACTAAAAAGAGTAGCTCTTTGGATGTTTTGGTATCTGTAAATTCTTCTGATGTTCTTTAAAAAGGTATCAACATTTTATAGTTCATCAAAGAGCAAGATGTGTTTTGACAATTGCGAGGAAAAGTTCTTACACAATGGAACAATACGTTGACGCTATTTTTAAAAAACTTTATTGTGCCATTGCTGACACATTGTTTCCACGTGACACACAATTCCTCTTAGAACACAATTTAAGATAAGGTGGACCATCCTGGGTCCACCTAAAAAGTTTTAGCACTTAAGTTGCAAATAGCTTGCCCAAGATGATTTGCAGTGAGTGCACCATATCAAGACCATATTTTGAATACATCTTTTAAAAAGCAACATGTATTTTAGTTTATTAATTAGTCTATGATTGGCTCAGGTATAATCAATAATAGAAATGGAATTTTTGTATAATGATAATAAAGACAATACACAATTTCTTAGTTTCCCTCCTTTAAATTATACAAATAACTTTCAAGAATGTTGAAAACAGAATAACTTGAATAGAACTCACTTTGGAGATAGATAGAAAATTTTAACTATATTGGTACATTTAGGAAGATGTCAAATATGTTGTGCCTTTTAAAAATGGGGAGAATAATCCAGAAAAGAGTTAACAAATGAAATAGAAGATACTTCAGAAAAAGGATGATTTACATTTATGTATATGAATACGCTAAATATATTAAACAAGATTGGGCTACAATTAAGGTGAAGTGGAAGGGATGGGAATTATAATAGTCTAAATAATTATTAGAAATGGTAAAAAGAATTATTAACATTTCAGAAAATGTAAATAAAATAAAGGGTACATTAAAAAAATACATATCTAAAGTTTGAGAAAGTGAACAAGGAGGTGAAATGTTTGTGAAAAGAGACACCAAAGATAGAGAATTTGCAAGTGAGGGGAGACGTAAAAAATCAGAAGTCTTAATTAGATGTTAAAAAAAATTTTTACAGAACTTAAAAAAGATCCAAGATTAGAAATAAACTAAAATTAATAAATGGAAACTGATACCAAAACACAGCATAGTAAAACGTCAAAGAATAGCATGCTAAAACATTTAGAATAAAAAAATAAAGAAATACTTTCACTAGCTAGTTCTCGCTCAGCCGCTGAACTGTGAGTTGCCTGTGAAGATGTGCCCTGTTTATCTTAATGCCCGTGCTTTCTTTTGGGAGTTTACACACACACATACACACACACACAGGGAAAAGGATGAGGTTGTGGGGGAAGGAAACCAGGCTAGAGGAGGAGGAAGGGCAGCTTATAAGTTTGTGGCGACCAGGCTGTGGGACATATGCTGAACCAGAGGCCCCTCAAACGGAGTCTGGGAGAGTGGAAGTAGAAGAGGGTGAATAACCCGGTGTGTCCAGGCTGACTGGTTCCTTAGGCACAAGACGCCCACCACTCAGGGCCCATGATCTTTAGAGCCCACAAAACTATTTAACCTCTTTGCAAATACAAAAAAAACTTTCAGAGTTAAAGAAAATGTTTTTAAAGTTTTCACACATCAGGAAAAAATGAGAATTTTAGGGCCCATGAAAATCTATTGCATTATTTTACTTTTTTTTTTTTTAAATAGAGGAAGGGGCCTACAAAGACATACAGGCCCAGCCTGTGAGAGTCATACGTGGCCCTGGATGCGCCCTGATAAGCTCACTGACATGTCACTGGCTGAAAACGGTGGGGGGCTCTGGGTACTTGCCAGACTGTTTTCAGTAATCATATAAATCATGTATCAATAATCAATGATCATACGACTTTCAATGATCATATAAACAAACTGTCAATTGCAGAGCCCATGTTGTTATAATGAAGCAAGGAGAAAACAAACCCTAAAATGGCTGTGACAGCCAATTTGCTCAAAGTAGGGTCTGTGTATACAAAAGACACTTTGTGTTGTTTTGTTTTTTCCTCTCAAGTCTCTGTATTTACAAGCATTCCTAAAAATCACTAAAGGAAATAACTTCCACTAAAACTCTTTCTCCCAAGAGTATACAGTATATGATTGTTTATCTCTTACAGTGCTTGTGCCTTTTATTCCCTCACTGAAATTGCTACAATCAAGCAATTACTTTAACCAGCGCCTATATCCAGCCTGCCAACAATATGGTTTACTTCAGCAACAAAATCTCCTTTAGTGATTTCACTAGCCCAGCCATGCTGAAATTTTGTCTGCAAAAACGTGCCTGTCCTCAGATAAACATGAGATCTGAATGAATGAATCTGTAGCAGATGCTGCATAAACCTTGACTGGCTGGCTGACATGTACAATGTTACTCTCCATACAACGTGAAACATCATCCTGCTGTTTTTACTTGTAGGGAGACTTGGTACCTCTTGGAAAAGGTAACCAAAGGATGGGTAGAATTCTGCACCCTTCATCTGGAAGTGCTAGGACCAAATGGACATTGTCTATCTGCCAACAGATTTGTGTTGATCTTGTTGAAGCCGGTTTCAGGTTCAGAATATTTTAGTTTCCCCCTCTCAAAGATTATTTGCTTAGACATGCTTGCAAATCAGTAATGTCCTTGAGTAAATTTCTCTGTTTCTCATATAGAAAAGGGAGCCAAGGAATGAGTTATTTTCCATATCCTGTAGGTCCAAATAACTTCAGTAATTGGGCCACTGTAACCTTTGTTGTCTGCTTGTGTATTATTTCCTATTGGAAAAGATGCAACTGTAACTTTCGATGGTTTGGTGGGTTTAAAATTGTGCTTGGTTTGGATAGAAGAGAAAAGCAGTAGCCATGATATCAACAGTGGCATTCCTCAAAGTTGTCCTCACCTTTCCTTTATTGTTCTTTACAATTCTGATATTCAACACCTTCTAGAGGTGGAAATATCTGCTGATTCAATCAGCATTTGTTGACCATGGGGACCGAGGTTACCTTTAAAGAAGATAAAGACTTCTAAGGTCTGATCCCTGTTTTGAATAAGCTTGTAGTACAGTAATTTAGTTTTTTCTAACTCTTTTCCCTCTGCATCTCCTGTATTATCGAAAGATTTGCTCCTGGGGAAATGACTTTTTCAATTTAATTTCAAGTGAACTTTTCTGGAAATGTGCACATACGCCCAAAAGTGTAGGTCAATACAATTTCCCTTTGGCTTGTGAGGTTTATGCTATGCAGGTAGCCCTCCACTCATGAGTGTTATGTTTCAAGAGTTTGTAAATTAGAGGTTTGGACCTCAGAATGCATTCTTACTCCTAAGTAACACTCCTGTAGTAGTAATCCTAAGGTAGTAATCCTTTCAAAAAAACGTCAAATGTGTTGTAACACTATTGAATAGAACAAAATTTGTTTTTTTTCCTTATTCTTACTGCATTATTGATGACTGCCTTGTGTGAATTTATGGAATGAGACTGAGCAATTATGTACATGGGATTTCTAAAAATTATACTCTTGATACAGTGACTCTGGAGGTGTAGCTTTACAACTATAGCTATAATACCAAAATATATGGAGGAAAATCGAGAAATTCTGTCAGTCACCTGTTTGTTTTATTGACACATGGCTAAGGGACGACATTTGGATGTTTCCAAATATCTGGACAGCTGGCACTTGGTTGACAAGAGAATATATGGGGAGAAAGAAATTTTTCAGTTTTTATCCAGATATGTTGGCATTTTGGAAAAAATGCTTTTATTGTCACTCTTATAACTCAGAATAATAGCTATAAGGCTCTAATTTTTAAAAATTGATTTTAAAAGGTTGATTTTTTTTAAAGAATCTGTCTATCAGTGCACTCTTCTTTTGCCCATAATGAAGGCATGCAGTGTCCTCTTTAAGAGTAAACTTGAAATTCAGAGGAAATGGTAAAAATCTCAATCCCATCTTTTCTTTAATTTGGTAATTTGTTATGTACAGGTGATCCTAGTTCTACGCAATCTATATGTTCTATTTAATTAGGTTCCTACTAATTAGGTCCCATTGAATTCTACTCTATTATTCTGTTTATCCTATTAAATGGTTGTTTTAAAGAAATATAAACTATATAATAATCCAAAAAGGCAAGCCAATTTTACATTCTTCTCTAAAGAAAGCCACTGCAGTAGGAGGGATACTGGAGGAGATCTGACTCTGGTAGGGTCCTTCTCTCAAAACACTTCACACTACTTTTTTATTGAATTTTAATCCACTTTGGAAGCCTACTCAATTCACTCTGTTATAGAGGGACTCTGAGGAAGAGAAAGGAAGAATAAAGGTAGCTTAGTGGGAGTGGAGCACAGCTAAACTATGGACACATCCAGGGGGCACTCCGAGGACTGTGTAAAGAAATATGCCATTGGAAAATTGTCCTTAAAAATTTTTTTTAAACACAGTTGCTTTTAAACACAGTATGTGACACATTGGCAAAACTGCATATTGGAGGAAGGGGTACTTTTTTCTATTTACACTCTATCATAATGAACTATTTACATATCTGGCTTGCCCATTACCCTAAGGAGCAAGACTTGGATAGTGACTCTCAACCTTGGCTGCACATTAGAATCACCTTGGAAGCATTTAGAAAATACAGTTCCCGATTTAACTGGCCTAGAGGATGAAGCCTGGACATTAGTCTTGTTTCAAAGCTTCCACTGTGATTCTGTGTCAAGCTTGGTCTGAGGATCACAGTGGTACTTGAAGCACAGCTCTGGCACATGGCAGGTACAGAGAAACACTACTTAGACACTTGGACGACATCACGAATGTTTCCCTGTGAAACAAATATGAAACATATAGTCCCTCTTTTGACCTTCACAGGTACGCTAGCTTTTACTGAAGAACTTCATAAAAAAATTCACATCCCATGGATGAACACCATACATATTTGTGCTGCTTTAGATGATAGTATTTAGTTATCAACTCTTTAAAAGGGGCTTTTGGAATTATTCATCTGAATGCAATTTAATTTTTCACAATGGATTCTCTAGGAAATCAGCGAGAGTTCATGCTATGGGTCAACTAACATCATTCTGTATCTTTAATCAATGGTAAGTTTGAGATGGAGCAGAAAAATGTGTCTTAGCTTATAAATGTGTTAAAGCAAAAGTATGTTATACCTTTGAGTATTCAAAGCATATTCAACGTAAGATTTTTTTGTACCACAATTTTGCAAATTTTAACTCTGTGTTTTCTAGAGGTCCATTTTTTTTCCCAACACACATTATGGGGCATGTTTTGGGTATGGCACATTCAGTGGTTAACTGTAAATGGTCTATTCCATCCATTTTACTTTTGAAGTGATGTCCATTATTGGACATGTTTTGTATGAGGGTCAAAGGAGATAGTTTTTCCATGAATTGTTTTCTATCTTGAATAACTCTACACTGAATCCATATCTGATTTTTTAAAGTTCCAATGAAAGAGCATCCTAAGTAAGGTTTGATTGGGAGCTGCAGAGGAACTTCACTTCTTGTGCATCGTGGTCCAACGAGAGTATTCATGATGTTTCTATGTTGTTTAGGACAGGCCTCGCTAGATGAGCTCCAAGAAAGGAAATGTACAAATTGGTGCTATGTGCTGTATGTTCTCTGATAAAGTTGAATTTTCTAATTGACTTTTTATTTTTATCTTATTCTCTTAGTCAGAAGTCTTATAAGAACAGGGACTATAACGCTCAACTTCTATTGTAGAAGAACCCGCTGCATTCAAGCGCATCAAATTAAATCCTTGGTTAATTTATGAAACGAATGAATGACAGAAAACTGTCCGAAGATCAGCATGGTGGAAAGACTCATATAGGCCTCAAAAATCAACACCTGATTAGAAAAATATAAAGGTACTGTGGATGCTGATCCACAAATGGGATCATGGATCAATATTATCTGGGGATCTTTTTAAAAAACATCAAGTATTATGCCCAAATCCAGATTTCTTGAAACAAAGTCTCAGAGGTGGTAATGGGGGAGAAATGATGGGAACGATTCCCTTCCCACACCAGGCAATTCTTACGTGCCCAGCTGGGCAGACGTCTGTGGTCAAGCATTTGGGAAACACTGTATAAGGGAGTGGACCCTGGACAAGGAGCTAAGAAGTTGGGTTCTAGTCAGACCCGTGCCACTAAATTATCTGGGACAAGTCACCTAATCTTGGCAGATTTCAGTCTCCTTAATGTAGGGCTTCATTTCTAGATAATTTCTCCAGTGATATGTAAGGTCCGTTTGTATCTAATATATAATATTCTGTTAGTTTTATCTTTCTTGACTTCCTAAAGCAAACCTCTAATAGAGAAGTAAATAAATAATAAAATAATTAAATAAAATAGAAAATTAAGCTGTATCCACAAATAAAAATTCCTAGCACAGGTCTGAACTGTGTGGTGCACCAGGAGTTTGTGTGCCTGTATACAAGGTCGACACGTGTCTACCATCTGGGTTGTGTCCATCATGGTCAATGAATCTGAAAACTCTGTGGCTGCACATTGGTTCTTACCATTTCAAAAGTATGTTACCTCCAAAAGATCTCTACCCCTAAACATTAGTACAAGAGATTTGGAAAAGCACTGTTTATTATCTTTCTAGTCTTCTCAAGCACCGTCTTGGTGTTCTCATAGCTCCTCACAATCAGAGAAGGAAAGTGTCTACATCAGCAAAATTATTAACTTCCTGTGCAGTGGCGTTAGTCCTTCCACATGTATGCTGTGTTTGTGCCCTGGCCTGTATTCCTACATCTAATAGTACTTAACCAAAGTGCCTCGTGTCTGGCACAAAAGAAAAACTCAAGAAATATTTGTTGAATTAATAAAAGAAGAAAGAAGAGAAGGGAAGGAAGAGTGAGAGACAGAAAGAGAAAAGTTGGGCTTATTTTAACAAGGGTAATGGAGTTTTCCACATTGACAGGTAGCACATACCCCATTTCCATTAGCTTATGGATCCTCCATAGCAATTTGCTGGGGCATGTGGATTTCCCCTGAATGTGAAAAACCAAGACATTAGGCAGAACTTTCAGAATTGATTCTGAAAGGAATAGCTCACCTTTTTTTAAGCAGAGGCTTTCATTGACTGGTTTTCCCTCTTTGTCGACGTCTATTTTCATCCAGCTATGGAGGTATTTCCTGCCCCTCTTGACCACTACCTTGAAGCCTTCTTTCTTGAGAAACAGAGAGGCATTTTCCACCTGGAGGAACCCTTCCTGCTCATAGCAGGTCCATCGGGGTGCCTGGGAGCAGTGGGCAAAGATGGCTGGTTGGGAAGGGCCCTTCGTGGAGTTGGAGATGCCCAGGCACAGCGCAGATCTAACATTAAGGAGCTTTCCATCCTCCGTCCATGTCCACTGCTGGTTCTGGCTGGTCCCATTGCAGAAGCCCACGGCAACTATCTTATTTTCAAAAAGGCACCGCTGTTTCTGGACGTGGACAATCTGAAACCCCTCTGGAAGATGAAAAGCTCATAAAGTACCAGGTCGCAAATTGCCAGGCCCCCAGAAAACAAAACAACCCACCCACAAATCAGCCACACAAAATGCCGGGTTTACTCATTTTCTGCCATTGTTGTCATTTCAAGTGAATATTCCAGACTCAACACGTGATTGAAAATCCCATGTAAAAATGTAAAAATGTCCAAACGTCACACTTAGCTCCCTTTCTTTTACTTTCACGTGGTTTTGGGAAGAAAACACACCCCACCGAAATAAGGAAAGGGAGATTGGAAAAGAAATGAAATCACCCAAAAATATGGTGTGACGTTTTAGCCCAGTTAGTTAAATAGGCTGAAGCCATGAAAAGCCCAGTTTTGACTTTACTTTTCCCATCTCACCTCTGCCCCTACTAGAAAAAACACCCTTTTCCCAACTCTTAAGTTAGCCTTGCAATAAGTATTTGTATACAAATGGAATGGTTTGAACACAAATTTAAAAATTGGATACACTTATCCAAAAATAAAACACATTTTTCCACCCCTCTAAGCACTACCTCGTAGCCGATCAAAGTATTGATTATCACAAACTAAATTTCTTTTAGTCCTGGAGAGAAGCAGTTCTTTATTTTGTGACAATGTCTACAGTTTCTCTCAAATATTAATAGATTAAAAAATCAGCTTTTCTCAGGGTAAGAAAATTAAACATCCAATTGTTAAACATCAGCATTAAAAAGTGGGATATTCAGTCTCAGAAACTATTTTCTGAGTTTTACTTAATTTTCCCAGCTCTCCCATGAAAATGTTCAGACTTTCCTTCCAAATAACAACTTACAAATAAAACACACCCCAGTTCTTCGCCCCTTTAATTATGTTTCTTATATTTTCTTTCTTTAACACAAAAGAAAACAAAACTATAACCCGGCTGGGGAAAAGCCTGGAGCGTGTCACAGGCTGTTGGATAATAACAAAAACCGTCTCCTCAGGTCCCCCCTCTCGGCTGTCCAGATGCCATTTTAGGAGCTGCCCGGGGCACTGGGGCCTGAGGTGTGGGCAGAGCTGGCTCCTTTTATCCCCCTCCTCATTGTCTTGGGCTAAACTGCCATGGAGACTTGGCTCCATTTCCGCCTTCTTCCAGACTCTTCTCAAAGGACAGAGGCTCCTCCGCGGGCGCCTAGAGGAAGACAGGACACCAAGGCAGGCCCACTCACCTGAGTTCCTGAAGAGCAAGCAGGTAAGAATCGCCATGTAAAATTCAGCCTCCATTTTCCACTTAACAACTGCTCATGCTTCGCTTGGGGGGAAAAAAATTTTCCCAGATAAGAGAAGCAAAGTAGAGGAAGGAAATCCTTCGTGGTGGGGAGTCGGTGACGAGCGCTTCCTCCTATTGAATTGTGGGGGAGGTTTACACCACTGTCCTTCTGTCTGCTTCCTTAGAAAGAAGGGATCCTGACTACCTCTCTTGTTTTATGTAGAAAAATTCCAGCCTCCAGGAGCAGAATAAAGCTCATAAGTTTTCTCCTACCATGCCTCTGGCTCATGACTACTTGTTAACCTCAAGAGGGAAGAAAGGAATTGTGATCTTAGATAACTGAGTGTTCCTACAACATGACACCTCTTCAGGTGATATGATTCTGCTGAATAAACACAGACCGTGTACTTTCTGAGGGTCTCTGACAAGGGATATAAAGACACAGACACGAGCTGTTGGTGTAAAGATGTGCTGGGAGTCTGTCGAGGAAGACCACACAATGACGGCACTTCTGGGTCCTTATCTCTCAGCGATAATATTACGTTTTCAGATAGTCATCTCCACTGGGGAGAGGCAGAGACTAAAATTAAACCCACCACATTATCTACTTCAGGCTTCCCCCAAAAGATAACAGCCTCTATCCAAATAGGAAAAAAAGTAGACGCTTTACTCAATATTTAGTATTAAGAGTAGTTTATTGGCAGTATGAAACAAAGTCAACACAGCTGCATTAAAAATTCATATTTGAGCAGAACATCTAGTGTTGCTGAGGGTAGTTTTTAAAATTTTATTTGTCTCTTGAGGATTAAAACCTTTCAGAAATTTAAGGATGTGCATGGCAGCATCCTTTTGAAGAACCTCTGGAAATGGGACAGGTTACATCATTCCCAAAGGCTCCCTCTGATTGGGAGAGACTCCAGGTAGACAGCATATTCAAAAGTTTCTCCTTAGGAAAAGAAACAAGTGTTTAAAATTCTTGATACGTCATAGTTGCTACAAATTTGTTTTTCCCTTTGAAGGTGAAATGACTCACAATGAGAAATACCTTGGGTAGAGTCCCGGAGCAGAGGCCACCTGGAGGCCCAAGGATAGAGAGTAAGGACATAGACACCCAATGACAATCGTTGTGCTCTTGGTTGATTGACAGGAGATACTGATCAATACACTTGCAACAGGGCATATTATCAAGACACATTTCCATATAAAATAGTTACAACTTTTGATCTTTTTTTCAAAAACAAGGACTTATTTGTTAAAAATCTGTCATCAATTGCTTGCACCTTCAGTGGCAAGACTCTGGTAACTGAGGAAGGTGACAGCACTGGGGACAGGGGCGTGACTGGCTGACGTCTGTTCATAGGCAGGTTTGCAAACACGGAAGCGTCTACACAGACAAGCATCCTCTCTCCAGCAGCTCTTCCCGTTGTCACCGGACGACACGTGTCACCGAGCATTTCATACACACACTCTGTGTGGCAGGTGTCAGGACACAAAACAGAATCCTGCACAGCTGTGTGAGACATTGTCACACCTCCACCAGCTCGGGACGTCCATCATAGCGTGGGGAGGCTCACGAATGCACTCAGGTACGCGAGGGCTGGCAATCGCCAATATGTTGCCGTTTTCCACAGTCCGTGCTGCAGTGTGGCGTCGGGACTTCTCCTTCCTTCCACCGCAGGAAACTCCTTCTAGAAGCCTCAGGTGGATAATTGATTCATCACCCCCAGAGATGGAGGGTCGGGCGAATCTTCAGAGAATCACTGGACAGTTTCTGCCGAAAGCCGGCTCTCGTACAGACAGAGAGCGTGGTGCACAAACTCATACTGCTCACTGGTCTGGACCATGCCGCCCCTGCAGGGAAGAGATGACACGAGAAGTTACTGCTACACCCCCCAAGCTAAGGGACACAGAGACCACGTCCAGGCCAGGCTGTCGTGCCCACAACACACAGCAGTGGGCCTGGTGACTCTTGCCTGTGTCCGGATGACCCAGCTGGGGGACTGGATGTGCTGATGTACGTACGGGCTTAACACAGTGCTGGCACACACCAGCGTTTGGTCAAGTTCACCTGCACGCCTTCCCAGGGAGGCTGTACTGCGCCCGATGGTGAAGTGTCTGGACTTTGAGCCCAGCCAGGCTGCCCGAGTTCAAACCCTCCCCTGCCGTTTGTTAGCTGTGTGACCATGGGAAAGTTCCTCCATTTCCTCCTCTGTTCAGGTGGGGTAATGCCAGAACCTACTTCACAGGATCGTGGTGAGGTTAAATGAATTCACGCATCTGGAGTGTTCGTGGTACTTCTCAGTTGCCTTGTCATGCATCTATGTTAAAATGGTTTGTGCACCTGGATTAAAATTGATTGAAGTAGGTTTACCACCAAAACTCAGCTGTGAAACGTCACTCTTTCCACAAGTAAAAGGTCACCACCTGGACTGGTCTCTTTGAGCTCGTTGTGGAAGCAGCCCAGCCTTGGGTGGGGTGTGCTCGGTGTCCAAACACAGTAGCAGGTGGGCCCTAAAAGAGCTGGAAAAAGGGAATCGGCTCTGGTTTCCTCTTGTGGTCGTCATTGTGGTCACTAGTTACCCAGTACGCCTTTGTTACCACATTGGTAGAAGGCAGCTGCCTGCATGAGAAATGATGATGCTTTTCATTACACTTTTATAGATAAAATACCTGTATTACACCTTGCTCTTTATAATGATGGTTCTTCTACTTGGCAAACCTACTAGACACTAGTATGAACGTTACTTATTTTTCCTGCTCACTGAGTAACAGCATCACTGTTAGTAACAGTTGGAAGTCCTATAAATATAGTCTCCACAACTCTGAGGTCATACAACCAATTTTGAAATTGTTTTAGCCAGTTCTTCCTAGCGGCTGTTGTTACCACTCAAAATAATTTTTAGACCATATAAGCACTTCGACTTAAAAACAAGATATATTGCCTCTTTGTAACATAATTTCTGGTTAGTGGTAATAACTAAAACTGAATTTGTATCTGCGTTTACTTGTCAATCTCTATAAATATAAGCTTACAAGATATTAAAGCAGTAAGACTTCATCCTTCAAACTAAACCAAGCAGTCGACATGATGCCAAAATGATGTATTTTGCAAGAAATAAAGATGTAAATATGCAGTTTTTGGTGATAGCAACTTATTGGCAGAAATATTTCATTGTTTTTTTTTTCCCCTAGAACTGTACAATTCATTGTTCTGAAGGCAACTTGCTGGCCAACGTGTTCCTTGGTCATAAGCTGACAACAGAAATGGCCAGCTGAGGATGTCGTAACTCTTAGCTGGAGGATGAAATCTGGGCACACCTAAAAACATAGCAGGTGTCCGGAAGATGCTGGCCTTGACTGTGAAGCTGGGGAGATACACCCACCGTAAATATTAGGGCAGCTCCAAGGAGCTCAGAGGTGCCTCCCTTCCTCTGGCATTCACACAGCTCAGGGGATCGTCCATCCTCCCCCTTGAGCTGCAGACAGTGTGTGGAGGCTTATATGTGCTCCATCCCACGGACTCTGGTCTGTGGACTTCCTCTCGCCCTTTCTCTCACTTTGAGGCAAGATTTTCCCTTCTTGTCTGTTCTGATGAGAACTGGTATTTATAGGTCCAACTGGTAAATGAATGGAGATACAGTCTAGGTTTTGATAACTCAAATGGGCGAGCAGTGAATTTTAATTTTACCCCAGATGGGTGAGTAGTGAATTTTAATGTGTGGAGTGTATTCACTGTGACATTCTGTTAACTAAGTTAACGTTGTTTCAGCCAGTAAAGTTGGGGAAGATGGGGAAACAAACTCATTGGTTGTAGCTAGCAAAATTCTTGTTGGTCTGAAGGCTCAAGAAAGGTATATGAAAAGTTATATCATTTCCCACTTAATTTGGAAAATAAAAATAAAGACTTGGCGTCAGAGGGATCCTCAGAGATCATCTATTCCTGTCTCTGACAGAATGTAGTCTTTCTAGAAGGGAGCAGCCACATAGCAGATGGTCAGCTAGCCTCTGCTGGAATGCTCGTCGGCGAGGTACCCTTAGAGCCCGCCTTTCCCAGAGTTGGCAGGAACACCTTTGAAGACATCAAAATAAATCTGCTCCTCTCCAGCTGTCACCCCATTGGTCGAACTGAAATAACCCAAAAAAGTCTTAAGCCTCCTCTTGTAGTTACACAATAGCTCTCTAAACACTGGAAAACAAGCATCAAAGTCCCAAGATCTTCTCTTCTCCAGACTAAACATCCTGTGTCCACTCAGCATTTCTGTACAGCCTGGTTTCCCTGTCACTCCTCCGTCTCGTCTCCCTCTTCTCTAGGTCATTTCATCAGCTAGGACCTTCTTGGAGTGTTGTGTCTACTCCCGAGGGGATCTCGTCAGCGGGAATTTTCTCCCTTGAGCTACGTGTTACAGGCCAACGAGGCTGCGTTTGCCGGCGCGTCGGGTGGTAAGACCCCACAGGGCCTAGCTAGTGCCTGTTGCTCAGCAGCGTTTTAGGGTACTGACTGAAGGTTTAGCTTAATGAAAAAGTCCACAGGATTTTTTTGAATGTGAAAATTACAGCTCTCTTCCATTCTGTACTTATGCTATTGAATTTTTGAAATTAAATGCAAGACCTTCTATTTATTCCTATTAATTTCAACTTGTTGGTTTCAGCACAAAGTTCTTATTTACTGAAATCACTATTCCTATCATTCACTATATTAGCCTTCCATGTCTCACTTCTAGCTTTGGGTGTTCCTGATTTTTAACAAGCATACCTTATATCTTTTTATCTGTCATTTAAATTGGTAGAAAAAGACAGGGCCAAGGTAGGGTCTTTATTATAAGTAATTTGATATCATGTTACATACTGTCTAATCCCGTTCCATTATTGTTTCCAACTAGGTCATAGGTCCTCTAAGGGCAGGCGTGATGTCACAGTCTCGTATCTGCAACAGTGAAAAGCACTTACTGGTCCTAAGTAAATACCTGTTAAGGGGTTCCCCAGGCCATGATATTTTCACGGGAAAACAGACAAACTCCAGGCTAAAAGAGGCAAAGGGTGTCCCACAATGCATTCACTGGAGGCTGGCTCAAACTCAGGAACTCACCACCATCATCTTTGAAAATATTTAATAAATGTCCAATTGCATATATTGGTATGTAGAATACTCTGTTGAGCTTTGTAAGATCTTAAAATCTAGGATTACCCTGCAGATTTTACTCTATTATGGGACAAATATAGTCTTTTTATAGACTGGCCATAGTAAAAAATACCCAAGAAGCAGCTACAGTGCCTATATACAAAATACATTACGGAATCCATGAACAGTGCTAGACTAATTATGGAACCCTCAGGATAGCCCTGTAATAATTCACCCTCCAGGAGAGCTCTGACTTGGTCCCCAGGCATCTTTCAGGTCAGACAGGGCCCCTTGGACTTGCTGAAGCTGGGATCTGTGTCACTGATGTAGACTTCCTAACCAAGCTGGTCTTTGAAGGTAAGAAGCAGGGACGCCCATTTATTACTTTAAAAGGCATCATCCAACTCCCTTTTAGAGAGCAGGCACTAAAATTATCCTTGACCTCCAATAGATCACAGTTTAAACTCAACCAAGGCTAAGATTTGAAAAGATTTCCGTAGCGATCAAGATGATGCTCCAGTAGAGAAGGCCTCTGGGGCCCAGACAGCTGGACCATCACCTGGCGGGCAGCTTGACATCACCACCATCACTCAGTACATCGTGTTAGAGCATTGTCTCTCCCGGGAGAGCCCTCTTCAGGTACAAATCTTTTCCCAGCAAGAGTAACACATTCAGCTGCAATGCACTGCCAAGCAGGAGCTAGTTTATCATAGAGAAACGTCGTATACAACCAGGGCAGGGAGCCCGGTTCCTGTGAGAGGGTCAACCGGCTTGAAAAGAGTTGGAACACCACGGTGTCAGGTTCATTCTCAGCAGGGACCAGAGTGTGTTAAGAGGTAAAAAGACACCATTCGTGTTGTCTCCACCACCCACTAGCTGCCTTCTTTATGTCTTACATAATCTTTGCACTGCTCAGTTTTCTCATCTGCAAAAGGACGAGGTAATAAAATGATAGCGTCTACCTCGTAGCATTGTTGTGAGAAATAAATGGGATGGTCCATTTAAAACGTCCAGCACACAGCTGAGCACACGTAGACGCCATATTGTTAGTATGTTATTGTTACTGTTACTCTTGGGACTCTCTGGTCAACAAGACTGTTTGGAAGGCTCTGGGGTGGGGCCTCCAAGGCCTTGGACAACTAAGAGCAACACTGGCAGAGAGGACACAGTGTTGCCAGGTCAAGCGAGCCTAGATGGAAAGATCCAGATCCGTTTCCAAATATTGGCCAACCCAGAAGTCCACTGTGGTGGAGGCAGGTGATGCTGTGGAAGGAAGGGGGCTCGGAGTCTGACAGATTCGAGCTTGAATCCTTGCTTTGGAAGCTGCTGGCTATATGATTTTGGACAAATCATTTAATCCTTCCCAGCCAGGGTTTCCTCAATTGTAAAATGACATCAATGACAAACTGCAGCAGATTGTGAGGATTAAACGAGTCAGAGCTCCTCCCAGAATCCCCAGAAGCCCAGGTCCCACGGTGGTGCCTTCGGGGCACGGGCTGCCTGGAGGAGGCGATGCGGCCTTCAGAACATCTCCTGATCCCAATTTTGACCAGGGCAGTCTTGCTTTCTGTTGTTTTTTTAATTATCGTTTTTGCATCGGTTTTCCATCCTGGTGTTCTGTGGGAGATTCTGTCTTCTCATTGTTTTGTTTCCCATTGTTTACAAAGAAATTTGAAAACCACCAGCCTGGCAGACAGCACTTACCTAGTCAGTTTTCTAGTTTTGCAAGGTT